TATAGTTGAATATGACTACTCTATGTGACTATATTAATTGTAGTCATATTTTTTTCTTTATATGGTTGTTTTTTATATTTTGAACTTAAAAATTCCGATTATATGGCATAGTCATGTTTACCAAAATCATATAAAACAACGAAGATTTCCTATTGTTTATGAAAACAATCCAATCAATATCCACCCAAAAAATCATTTGAATCTACTTACTAGAAGTCAACTTGAAAACGAGAAGATAAATTATATTCAACAATAGTCATATTCGAATATGACTACAGTCATATTCGAAAAATACATAAATATGACTATAGTCATATTCGAATATGACTATAGTCATGTTACTGCTGCTGTTCAGATCTGGAGAAAAAAATCGAAAAGTACATGATAGAAAATTAACGAGAGAGAGGGATGGGAGTCGACGACAACGGCGGGGGCGGTGGTGAAGGAAAGAGAGTGAAAGAGGCGGCGACGGTGGTGGTGGAGGCATCTGGAAAAAAAAATTGAGAAAACGAGAAAGATAACGAAAAAGAGAAAAAAAGCCTTACATGGAAACGAAGGATGAGGCGGCGGCAACGAACGGCGACGGTGGTGGTGGTGTACAAATCTATGTGGAGACGATGGTGGTGTAAAGAGAGAGAAATCGATAGAGACAACGAACACGAGAAATTAATAAATTACTAACCGAGTGAATCAGCAATAGTCATATTCGAACCAGACTATAGTCACGTTAATGCTTCTGCTCCAGATCTGGAGAAAAAAAAATCGAAAATAACGAAAAAGAAGGAGTGGGATGCGACGACAACAACGGTGAGTGAAAGAGAGAGTGGGGAACAAACAATAAATTCATAAAATCACTAATCGAGTGAATCAACAATAGTCATAATTATTAACAGAACAGTGAGAAATGACTATTATGTGACTACTCTGTAAATCGAAATAAAATGAAATCAGATACAACTCGGACGACACAAACCCCATACATTTTGCTCTGAACAAAACAAACGCTCGTAAATTGCGAACCAAATATTATAATCCATAGGCTAAATTAAAAAAAAAAAAAAAAAAAAATCCAATTCCAAACAATTTCTGATATTTTTCACCCAACTTTTCTTCAACACCAATCACATAGCTCCTCTTCCACGTGGATTTTTAGAGCACTTATTTATGCAATACATAAATAAGCACAAACACCGTTAACTTCACACCTTCAAAAGTATACACACAGTTACATATACATATAGACAATAAGATTAGGAAAAAATACAGTGATCCAATTTTTGGTGATCGGATCTTCTAATCGAAACAATATTCTCGAGTCTCATGTCAAAAAGAAAAAAAAAAAGAGAGGAGATGAGAAGAGATTGAGAACGTGAGAGAGAGAGGGGGAGTGAAGGAGTGAAATAAATTATATCACGTTAAAAACCTAATCACATAAGGGCACTTTAGTCTTATCAAGTATGGTTAGGGGTGTCTCACTAATTAAGAATGAAACTTGGGTGTAGGCAAAAGTCTTTAATAGTCAATTGGGTTTAGTTCAAAATATTTTCCATTTGAGGGGGCTATTGCATATTTCCCCATA